TTTATATGCATATAATAGATAAAATTTAATTTTTTTCACTATGATAAAATTAAAATACTAAAATATTATACTTAATATTAATTTTAATCATTTATTTTGGGAGCCGTTATTTTTACTTCACTTTATTCCAAATACTCTCTTTTTTATTCTTATTATATATAGTTATATTAATATCCTTTCACACAAAATACATTGTCTAAAAAATCAAAATTATAAAGGTATTAATGTAACTATATATAATAAGAATAAAGAAGAGAGTATATTTGGAACAAAGTAAAGTGAAAATAGCAGTTCCTTTTATTTTTTATCTTATATTTTATAATTCTCGTTAAGTATAAATCGTTGTGTGTAATATACTATATTATCTTTAATTTTTATTTTTTAATTTATAAAATTAACCCATTTCATATCCCTCACCTGCCCCTTCCATCCTCTGATTTGTCTCATTCTAATATGATACAGGGCGGGTGTGGATTACTACAAATCCGGCCCAACTCCGACATGTGACCATCCCTCCTCTCTCTCAGTGCAAGCACATTCTCTCTCATCTCTCACTTCCACCATGCAGGGTCGATCTTGAAGTGAGGCGACTAAGGCGGTCGCCTCGGACCTCTAGTTTTGAACAAAATTTAGAGGTCTTAATCAGGAGAGTGTATAATGTCGTATTATTTTATAACTACTTTAATATTAGCTCAATTTATTTATTTTCATGTTGTTGTATGATGTTATTTTGATTCATGTCTGATTGATGTTTAATATAAATCTTTCACTTTTAGTTAAAAATAACTTAAGAAGTGTGTGGAGAGATTAAAATTTTTTCCATAAGTTGAATTTTATAAAATTTATTTCTACTAAATGAAATTATTCATAGAATGTTTAATTTTAATTCAATTACATTTTTCTAATTAAAAAAATTGTAGCTTATTACTATATATTTTTTGCCAGATTGACTCTAAAATAGGTAACAAAAAAATATATATCTTAAATGAAAAAAAGATATTAGCTTTCATTATTATTTTACATATTTTTTTATTCAGTTAGATGGAGTTAAATAAAATATTAAAAAAATGTCATGCCATCCTTTAGTGAATATTAAAATATATAACTAATAATTCATATTATTAAGTTGTATCATATTTGAGTTCATGTAGAAAAATAGTCAACCGTAACTTGCTAATTTTATATATTTCTTGAGTTGTGTCGAAAATTTTCATCCTTACCCCCAATTAATTTTAGTTCTTATAGCATTGGTAAGCTAAAAAAATTAAAGATTTGATTTAACTAATCGAAATTCAACTATTTTATACATACATATATATATATATATATATATATTTATTAACTAAATTTTGTTAAATTGTCATGCAATATAAATAAACTAGCATATGCCCGTGCCTAAAGGTACGGTGTAAATAATTTTAAAATTAAAATACAGTTATAGTTTATACATATTATGTTGAAATTTATGAAGTTTGCGTCATTTTTTTGATAAAGATATTGAAAAAATATATTGAAATATTTTTTTTCTCAAAGAACTTATAACAATTTTGCTTGTGTTACACGCTCTACAAAACTCAAATAAAATAATAACTTCTCCTAATCTTAGTGCAAATTAAAAAACAAACATATAAGATTTAAAGTTATATTGCATATCAAAATATAAAAGGCAGTAAAAAAAGTGTAAACACTGAACAAAAATCTGAAATTAAAATTATATTGTCATACTCCAAAAGAGTATATTAAAACTTTACAAAAAATGAGTTAAAACTTTTCAAAATATATATACTTTACAAAAAATGTGTCAATAATATGTCTTTAAATATGTATTTGCGCAAACTTCCTCATCATTACTTTTCAAAAAGTCTTTGTATCAACATGTATGTATCCCCAATGAAGAATATGTCCAAAATATAGATTTTTATCTTTTTTATTTTATCCAAATAATTTACTTTTTAGATAATGATATATGAAAATTTTAATTTAAAAAATTTACCTTAAACCCTTAATAACTCATGACCGACCCTGCCACTATGCACCACCAGTCACCGGCCTCCGCCACCTCCCTCTCCTTGAATAGCTACGAGTGAACTGTTGTTGGGTGAGACCGTTTAGTATTGTTTGGCTCCTTTTGATTGCCACAAATCCACCAAAAAACATTGAATACTACTGACCCACCACCTTAACGACTTTTGATTCCGTTTTGTATGCATTTGACTCCTTTTTATTTGCTTTTGACTTTTTGGTGAAAACTAAGGAAAATATCACATCAGTGACATGTAACAAAATAATTATAAATTAATAAAAAAAATTATAAATATTAATAATTAAATTTATAAAAAAAATTATGAATTTGTATTTTTTTAACTCTGACAGGACCGAAAAGTAATAACTTCCAAAATTTATAAGAGCATCTCCAATGGTTGATTATTTTTTTCATCAAATCTGAATAAAAATAATTAATTTTTTCAATCTGATATGACTTACTCCAATAGTGTGCATCAAAAGCGAAGGGTCGATCGGCGGGTCAACCAACCGATCGACCGATAAGGCTATGAAAGGCATAAAATTTATCCCCTACTTCTAAACACATATATGGCACTTACAAAAAGCAACTTACAGTTAAAACTGTCAGTTATAAAGCCCGACCATGCATGATGAGCTTTACTATTGAGAACAAACATACTTCAGATTCAGAGTTATAGGAGCAACTTAAGCAAAATTATGATCATGCTCAACAACAGATATGTTCCATATGGATAATATCATTATTCACAAGCTGATTTTGTGTCGAAGCTACTCAAAGATTGCGAAAGTTTGGAAGGCTGAGAGTGGGTATCGATAATCTATGGTCAAGATGTCTTTTCCAATCTTTCCAAATTGTAAAATTACCTTTTCTTGCTCTGCAGTTGGTATGTTGTGAGACGGATCAACAGCAGCTGCAAGCTAGAATTTATAATTATATCACCCTTCAATTTATTCTTAGTCCACAAAATAACTGATCTATTTGAACCTGTTCCTCAAAATAAACCAATTCGCACCTGTGCGAACTTGTTCCACAAAAATAAACTGTGTGCAAAAGTGAGAGAACCAGTTGACCGGTGGGTCAATCGGCCGAACATCCGGCTGGTTGATCAGTTGGCCCACCTCAATGTTATAGCACAGTGAAATACTAAAATCGCGAGTTTGTTCTCAGTTTGATGAAAGTTTTGTTCCGTTCTCATTTTTTATATCAATTTAGTGAAATCATTAAAGACCTAAAAAGTGACTTTTAAATTTAATGCACCATTGGAGATAGTCTAAGTATATCATTCTTTAAGATTTTTGTTTTTTTATTATTTTTTTTCTAAAAATAAACAAAAAATAAACAAAAATCAGTTTATAAAAATTTTATAAATATAAACTGAAAACGTAAACGTTACCAAACACACCCTAAGATTTTTGTTTTTTTATTATTTCTTTTTAGATGATTGACATTGAAAACTACATTGTCATTGAACCTTTCGTGTACCTATTAATTCATCTTAATTATTTAATTGCTATGCAACCTTTTGACTCTTCCTAATGAGCAATTTTTCCACGATATTAGTTAAAACCGTTCTTAGCCCCACGTAGATATCTTTATCAAATAAAATTCAGCAAAAACACGAAGAACATAAATCATCCACACTTATTTCTCATTATTATAGGACTAATATATTACAAATTTAGAACATATATTTAAAATTTTATTCAAAAATATTAATATATAATTCAAATTTATTTTGTTCATAAATCTTATAAAATATCTATTAAATCTCCACCACACGTTTAAAATCAAGGTAAAAATTCTTGTTATTTTTCTGGGATTATAGCTTTAATTTTATCGACTTTTGGTCAATTGGAGTGACTCTAGAAATTGCGAAAGAAACAATCAACACGTTAGAAAAGACAATATTCCAGTTCCTCATGATTTTTGTTGAAGACTTTGTTATTAATTAGTCCGAGAAAAGTACATTGTATTAGAGTAGGACTATGATATCTCACTTTTCTTTTCTTTTCTTTTTTTTCTTCCTCCTTTCATATTTTTCTTTTTTCCTTCATTCTTTTATATTATTAGATTATCTGATGGCATATTATTTACTTTCATTAAACATTTGTCATTTAATTAATAACATTTACATCAATAAATTTGAAATATTATTTATCATCGAATTTGTTCTACCTATATTTATATCATCACCTATATATGTATCATATGTATATATAAGATTCATCATATTTAAAAAATAGACAATTTTTCTTCAGTAGATTATATGAATGAATTGAAGAGTTCCGCTGGGCAGGCAGTCGGCTCATTCATCCTGAGTCTATCTTAGTGATTTAAATCGCTCAATTCATGAGATTCATAGATTAGATCAATCACACAAAAATATTAAATTGATCGAACATAAATAGTCAAATGATCTGATTACATTTATATAAAAAATAATGGAAGATCTATTCTCAAAATCATAGTTAGCATTCATTTTTTATAAACATATATAATCCAATCATGTAGTTACTTCTCCTATCAATTTAATTTTTTACAAAATAATCTACTTAACATGCACTATAAATTGAACAGTTCTAAACACAAAAATGGAGCCCAAATAGGTCTGCAATTGGCCCAGCAAGACCCTTCCAATAGAGAGAATCTATCTTCATTATAATAGTGAGATTCACCCCGTATAAATTTTTTGTAAAACAATTCAGTAGTATATCGTAATTTTCTAAACCAAAAATTAATTATGTAACAACGACATTATTTTACGTTGTGTCAATAATTAATAAAAAATTATTAAAGATTAAACTTCTCTCAATTTTAAAATTTGAACTTGACCATCAGAATAAGACCCGTAAAATTCACCAAAATCCTGTTTTAATTATTCAACCCTCTGCTCTCTTTTACAAACTCTTCAATCATAGAGTTCACACTATGAAACTTTTCCTTGGAGGCCATTTTTCAATGGGTGACTGTTTCATTTCATGTTTTGAAAGAGTCTCTCTCTCTCTATATATATATATACATAGAGAGAGAGAGAGAGAGAGTTGTTTAAGTGAAACTCACTCCTGCAAACCCTTCATCGACTTTAAAAAAAACACTTATATCAACAAGCCCTTCTTCTCACACAGTACTGTAAAAACAAAACAGTAAACCTTTTCAAACCTTCCAAAAAACCATGAAGTTTGGCCAAGAATTCATATCCCAAATGGTACCAGAATGGCAAGAAGCATACATGAACTACAACCACCTCAAAACCCATTTAAAAGAAATCCAACGCTTCAAACTCCGACACAAACCTCCACCACCACCTCCCACCGGCCTCAAACGAAAACTCACCCTTTACAGAGCTTTCAGCGGCTTAACCCAAAGAATCGCTTCTCCCAGAAGTCCTTCTACCTCCTCAGACCTCGAAAACCAGGCCATTTTAGTACAATCCGAGCGGTCTGATGGTGACGATCGGTACGAAACGATGTTTTTGAGGGCGGCGGACGAGGGAGGAGAGTATGAGTTGGTGTACTTTAGGAGACTTGATGAAGAGTTTAATAAAGTGGTTAAGTTTTATAAGTTGAAAGTAGAGGAAGTTGTGAAGGAAGCTAATATGTTGAATAAGCAAATGGATGCTTTGATTGCTTTTAGGATTAAAGTGGAAGGACCCAGATCGGAGAGGTGGCCGGAAAGTGAAGGGTCGGTGGAGATCAGTCGTCTCGCCGCGGAGGTTGAAGCTTCTACGGCGGCGTTGTATGCTTCTCTTCCTTCTGGGGTTAGAGCTAACAGTGAGTTTTTCTTTTTCAAAAGCTAATTTAAATGCTTTGGTTGGTTTCTGTTTAATTTTAATTACATCATAAGTTTTATTTTTGTCCTAAAAAAATATTGAATTATATAAAAATGTTAAGTATTTTTTATTTTTTATTATTTTTCACTACATTAGTTTTTAGTTTTCTCTTCCTTTTTTTCCAAAAAATAAATTCTAAAAATCAAACCAAATAATTTTCTTGAACAAATGAATTCTCATAAATCAAAATAAAAGTAAAAACAAAAACAAAAACATCAAAATTATTGAATTCTCACATTTTGTTTGCATTTATAATTGTGATTAAAATATTTTGCGTCGGTGCTTTCGGAATCAATTCTTACCGTCGTAAAAATTATCACTAAAAAATCAATTTGAAAAGTACCAAAAACAAAAAAATAAAAAACTTTTAGTAAGGGTTGGTTTGGGATGTTCTAAAAAAGTGCACTTTTTGACTTATTGACTTATATGGGTTGGGTTTGGATTGGGTTTGATGTGATGTGTTAGAGAGGTGATGTGATTTAAATAAGATGATGTGACTTAAATAGGATAATGACTTTTTAACTTTTTGTATTATTTAGGTTATGCCAAACTTGGCCTAATATGATTTTAAAAATATCACTAATAAATAGAGAAAAAGTATGAAAAGTTGTTTGGTTTGGTTTTTTTTAAAAGATGTTTTGGAAAGTTATTTTGAAAGAGAGTTTTGAAAAAAGTGATTGATTTGATGTGTGTGTGAGAGAGAGATTTGTTTTGAAAACTTGTTTGGTTTACAAGTTTTGAGAAATTTTTTTAGAAAAATTTATTTGGTTTGATTACTTTTAAAAACTTATTTGTAGAGAAAATTTCTCAAAAATTTTTCAGAAATACAAACCAAACGAACCCATTTACTTTTTGTGACAAAAAATTTAGTCTAAAAGGGTAATAATTCATCACTAACTAAAATATTTTCCCTTAAAAATAATTTTATGTCAAAATTTAACTTTAATTTGCTGCATACAACCACCATCATTTTTAAGGCAGCAATCAAACACCGAAAAATATTTTTCCCCAAACAATCCAAACATTTGTTTGTTGAAAAATATTTTCTATAGAACTCAAGAAAATGTTTTCATCAAAACAATCCAAACATTACTGGAAATGTTAGGCAATTAAGAATTATAAACCAATCCCTAGTAACAAATTAAAGTTGTGATTTTTCATGATTAAAATTTGCAGGAAGAGCTGCCATGGATGTAATAGAAGAAGAGGAATCAATCAGCCATGGCCACTCAGACGAATCAGGAAATGATAAATTTTCCAATGAGAACAGATCCATCAACCAAAATGCCAAGCAACACGAGCCAAAGAACTCCAAAGCCCACCCTAGGCCAGCTCCATTGGAAATACTTAACCAAGTGAAAATGAACAACACTCTCGAGACTCCTAGGTCCACCATTAAAGGCCTTCTTAGTGTTCATAATCCGAAAGAGATCAAATTCAGCAGAGAAAACCTAAAGAAAGTTGAAGAACAACTTAAGCGGGCTTTCATTGAATTTTATCAAAAGCTCCGGCTTCTTAAGAGTTACAGGTAACTAACTGAATGCTATAAAGTCCGAAAAAATTACTTGAAAAGTTGGCAAAAAATTAAAGCGTGCAGACTAGACACAACTTTTCGGCCTTTCTTTTTTTGTTTTTCTATTTTTGAAAAATGCAGTAAGATTTTTGCATAGAATTGTGTTTGATCTTTTTGCGAATAAATGAACAGCTTCTTGAATATGTTGGCATTTTCAAAGATCATGAAGAAATATGACAAGGTATTTTTCTATCTAAAAAATCTGAATTCTCTTTTTCTTCTCAGCAATCTAAATAGTTATTTTTACTAAAGTTGTTTGTTTATAAATAATTATTGCAGATAACTTCAAGAAATGCATCAAAAGCTTACTTGAAGATGGTAGATAACTCCTACCTTGGCAGTTCTGATGAGGTGAATACATGGGACACTTATGATTCAAGAATAGTTATTTCAAGCTAAAATATAATACATATAATAGCTTTCTTAGGTGCTCTGACACACACACACACACACACAAAAATTTGAAAAATCTGATGATTCAATTTGGGAAATTGCAGGTTAATAAGCTTATGGACAGGGTTGAAGCTACATTCATCAAGCATTTTTCGAACTCAAACCGAAGTAAAGGCATGAACATCTTAAGACCAAAAGTGAAGAGAGAAAGACATAGGATAACATTCTCCTTGGGTAAGATTTCAACACTCCTCACATGGTTCATTGAGAAAAGAAATTCTTTTTACGTCCAAATCTCTAACTTAATTTGTTTGTTGTCTTTTCTTTGATCCGTTGACTCGAAAAAATTTCAGGGTTCCTATTTGGCTGCTCAATGGCACTCCTAATTGCCCTAATTTTGGCCATACGTACTCGCAATATCATAGGCAAAAAAGGCCACGAACAGTACATGGTTACATTGTTTCCCCTTTATAGGTACATTATAACTCCTCCAAATGCTGTTTTCCTATGTGTTTTTTGGTTTATGTTCAAAAGGGTTATAGTGGCCGTTGTCTGTGTGTGGACATGTGAAAAGTCAATTCCCTTGTGAAAAAAAAAGAAGGAAAAAAAAAAAAAAAAAAGGATAAACGCACTGTCAAGTCCTTAAACATAACTTAAGCAATGCCTTAACACCCAAAGCTAAACAGCTAGGGATTTCAATTTTTGGTAGCAATTAGCACTATAATTTGTTTGACACGTGTGAATTTACCTTTTGCAGCTTGTTTGGATTCATTACGCTTCACCTGCTCATGTACGCTGGAAACATATACTACTGGAGGCGGTACAGAGTCAATTATTCGTTTATATTTGGTTTCAAGGAAGGAACTGAACTGGGATACAGAGAAGTTCTCCTCCTAAGCTTTGGTGTTGCATTGCTAGCATTAGCATCGGTGCATGCAAACCTCGACATGGAAATAGACCCTAAAACTCAAGATTACAAAGCAATCACTGAACTCGTGCCTATGGGACTTCTAGTCGTAAGTTGATTTAACTCAACCATCTTCTTTGTAATTCCCACTTGTATATATAGTTCGCTTAAAACTGTAAAATCTTTCCCTCTTTACAGTTCTTGATTGTCATATTGTTCTGCCCGTTCAACATCATTTATCGATCAAGTCGCTTCTTTTTACTTGCATGTGCATTTCACTGCCTTTGTGCTCCTCTCTACAAGGTAAAAATCTGATTGATAATGTGATCCGATAATGAAAAGGTTTGACAATCTAAACAGTTTACTTATATAAGATTTTCTTTTCCTTACAGGTGACACTTCCTGATTTTTTCTTGGCAGATCAGCTAACAAGCCAGGTGAATAGATGTGATTTCCCTTAGGTTAAGTTCCAATTTTTTATAATTTTATTTTTGGAAATAATTAGAAGTGTTGATTATTGTGTTGTTGCAGGTGCAAGCATTTAGAAGCCTAGAGTTCTATGTTTGTTACTATTTTTGGGGAGACTACAAACACAGGCAAAATACTTGTATGGATAGTGGTGTCTACTACACATTCTATTTCATTGTTGCCACAATTCCATTTGTGTCTCGTCTCCTTCAGGTAAGTCCTTGTTTGGTTTCTTCCAATTCAAGGGTTTGTTCGCAAGATTTACCAGTTTTAAAGGCCGTCACCTAGGGCTAGTAGTACCCATTATTCTTTGGAGTTTGTGTTCTTGTTTTGGGGGAGTGGGGGAAAGAAACATTGTTTGTAGCATTGTACTTACTCAAAGTGTATAGCTTTTACCTACAGCTTACAAGTCTAAAAATAAAAGAGTAATTATTAGAAAGTTTGAGAAATGATGCTTCTCATTTCTTCTTTCTAATTATCAACTTTCAGCTTACAAAAAAAAAAAAAAAAACTACACCAAACAGACTCATTGTAAGGAATGCAATTCAATGCATGACTTTAAACCTCTGCAATTCAATTCAAAACTTTCAGCTTGGCTGAAAATTTATGTCCAAGTTCAAGAACAAAGAATCAAGGAATTATTTTTTTGAAGCTACCAATCTTATAATTAGACACTTGAAACAGTTCATTTTCTTCTTCTCAGTGCCTTCGACGCTTTTACGAAGAGAAAGATGGTATGCAAGGACTCAATGGACTGAAATATTTCATAACCATAGTAGCTCTTTGTATGAGGACAGCTTACTCTCTTAACAAAGGGCTTAGTTGGAATATATTGGCATGGATTGCCTCTGCGATTGCCGCGGTTTTTAGTACCTATTGGGACCTAGTCTTCGACTGGGGTCTCCTTCAAAAAAAGTCGAAGAACCGTTGGTTGAGAGACAAGCTCCTAGTCCCACACAAGAGTGTCTATTTTGCAGCCATGGTGAGAAAGAAACAATAAGTTTTGGGATTTACCATATGGATAGTTTAATGAACATTTGATCTCAAAATTACTAATGAATTTCATGAAAATTATGCAGGTTTTGAATGTTTTGTTGAGATTTGTTTGGTTGCAAACAGTGTTGGATTACCAGGTTTCTTTCTTGCATAAACAAACCTTAGCTGCAATTGTAGCTGTCCTAGAGATCATTCGTCGTGGCATATGGAGTTTCTTCAGGTATTTTTCAAGATATTGTCATGATTTCATTTATAGAGCTTGTGATTGATTATCTAATTTACTATTTTTATGGTGATTGTTTTTGTTTGATTTGTTGATCAGGTTGGAGAATGAACATCTAAATAATGTCGGCAAATATCGTGCTTTTAAGTCAGTACCTCTGCCTTTCAACTACGATGAAGATGACGACAAAAATGAGTGAAAACAGCACAAAGCGGGAGTATGGGCGAGGAAGAGCACACAGAGGTTTGGAGGGCCAAGAAGCATTAATGTATTTTATATTACAAAAAATTATAAAATTATTTATTTATTTATTTTAGTTGTAATATATATGTTCATTGTTGACGGTAAATTAAGCCAATAAACATAAGCATAGTAAATTTGCATTACAGAAATAAGAATTTGTCACAAACATACATATTACCACTTACTCCTGACGCAACTCAAATTGAAATTTCTACTATAAAAAAAAAATCATCTTTTAATTCTAAAGACGAGTCAAAATCTAGAATATACTAATATGTATTCTCTTTCTTTGATTTCTTTAAACTATGTTTAAGTGGTCCAAACCACAATTATATCTTGAACGGAAAGGCAATTCTGACAACATTCTTACTCTGAACTATACAAATGTGTTTTTAAAGTAGAAATGTTGCCCCAGTAGGATATTAATATTGCAACTTAAAAGGAGTGACAATTCATAGCAAATAATAATAATAATAATAGGACACGAAAGAATTGTATGAAAAGATATTTTAGACTAAAACAAAATCATCATAGTTAGTAGGCTAGGTTAAGCATTTAGTGAATAGATCCTGGAACAGAAACATATAAAGCATAATATATCATTCCCTTACACGTGCTAAGAATCAGATGGGTATGGTTTTAGGCTGGGGAAATAAAATGAAGGCGATGACCTTATATAGTCTCCAAGGCCTGAAGGATATCAGCCTTCAAGTCTTCAAAATCTTCAATTCCAAAGCTAAATCGAACCAAATTGTCCTTAATCCCAAACTTAGCTCTGTCTGATTGGCTAAGATCCCTGTTTCAAAATGTACCCAAAAATCACTCTTAAAAATTTGATGGAAAGAAGCAAACAATACAAATATGGAGAGAGAGAGAGAGAGAGCACCAGTAGGACATGATTGCAGGCTGATCTACAATGCTCTCACAGCCACCAAATGAAGGAGCTATGTAAGGAATTTTCAAGGCATCAATGAACTTCGCAGTTTTCATCAGGTCCCCATCAATCTACATTTGAAAATGCTAATAAGGACTTTTAAGAATTTCAAGAAACAACCCAGAACATTGTTGTTGAGAAACACAGAGTCAAACCACAATTTGGGGCTTACCTCAAAACTAACCACACCACCAAAACCAGTCATTTGTTGCTTGGCAACATAGTGTTCAGGGTGACTAACAAGACCAGGATAATAAACTTGAGTTACCTGTAAAAGTTTAATGTTATTAGCATGGTGAAAAAATCATGTTTCAACTTCCATATCCAAATTATGAAAAAGATGATGCAAAAATATAAATGAAGTTGATAAAAAAGTCCAAAAATAGTAGCATGCCACCAAAGTCATCCTCTGGTGTTATTTTCTTGTTGAATGCTCTCTCTTGTTTCATCTCCAAAAATTATCAATATTTTGATTTAAAGCAATTTTATTTATGCAGAATTTTATTCATCAAAAGACTACTATCGAAGTATCAATATTTAGCAGAGAAAAACATGACAATGACATAATTTCTACATACCTTGGGATGTCCCTCTAAAAGTTTGGCCATCCTCAATGCTGTTGTGTTTTGCTGCTGTACACGAAGATGCAGTGTCTTCATGCCTCGAATGATCAGATAAGCGGCATTCTGTAAAATAGAATTACCAGCTTTCAGTCATGCTTGTCCAACTGGCATTGAACTTGTGGAAGCGACTAAGCAACTAGTTCATTATCAAGCATCATATAATCATATGATAGTTCGTAATTTACATACAGATAGTTTGTAATTTACATACAATAAGATTGATAGAATTAAGTGCGCTCTCTATTAACATGATGGACCCAACAGGAGAAAAAAAAAAAAAGCATTAGTCTTTTAGTTTCAGGTTCATAATAATTTGCAATCCCACAAGACAGGCAATCAAAGTATGACTTACCGGATTAAGAGCACCACCCAAAATGTTATGGAGAGTACGAACTGCAGAGATAAGTTTCTCAGATCCACTGATGCAACCACCAAGAACCTAAAATAAAAGTGTTTGTTGGTTATTATAATGGCAATTCCAGATTGCACTAGAACTATCGGTCTTTATTTTATGTATTTAGCAATAGATACAAAGAGAAAACATACATCATTGTGGCCTGCAATATATTTTGTTGCAGAATGCAGAACAATATCAGCACCAAGAGCAAGGGCCTTTTGGTTCAAAGGTGTTGCAAATGTTCCATCAACACAGACCAACGTTCCTTTACTGTGGCAAAGCTTTGAAACCAACTCAATGTCAACACACCGGAGAAATGGATTTGTTGGTGATTCCGTAAAGAAAAGAGTAACCTGCATCCACCAAACAAAGTCGTTCATTCAGGTGGAATGCCAATTCTGTGAGATTCTATCAAAGGAAAATTGAAACAAACCAACCACAATTTAGAGAGCTGCTTACTTCATTCTTATCAAGTGCATGTTCTAAAGCATCCACATCTGCAGGGTCAATGATAGTGGCCTGCATACACACCATGACAAATAAGGATCATAAATTGAAGAAGAGAAGGGAGAAAGAAAAGGAAGGAAAAAAATCACAAAACCTTACAAGTACTAATCCTAGGGCATATAAACAAGACGTACACGATGAGTATGTGATTTACAAAGCCTGACATAGTTAAACCAATCATTGACATAAATTTGATGAAAGTGGTTGATTTTACGACCACTTAAAATTTATTCAAGCCATGGATCCAAAATAATTCAAAGTAGAATAAGCAGAGGGCATACAGATATTTCCAAGTATGGCATGAAGCCCTCATAACTATGGATAATGAATTTTTTCACATGCTTTTGATAAGCCATATAGATCATGACAATATTAAGAGAAAAGTATAGAATCAGATTCCCATGATACCACATAGATGTAACATAATGCATTTGCAGAAGCTAGACACACTGGCAATTGGGATTTTCAAAAAAATGTTCAAGAATGAAAAAAGCAAACAGATGTAACATAATGCATTTGCAGAAGCTAGATACACTGACAATTGGGATTTTTAAAAAAATGTTTAAGAATGAAGAAAACAAACAAAACTACCTCGATCCCCATTTTGGGGAGAACAGTTTCAATGAAAATCCTTGTCTTCCTGTAGCAATCTGTGGTTGTCACAATATGCCCACCAGCTGGAACCAGTGCCATAAACATTACAATGCTGGCACACATTCCAGATGCCATTAACAGTGTTGATTCAGCACCTTCAAGTGCACTGCACAAATATGAAGCAAATATTGAATTATTATTAGACATATGTTCTCAACAAATAGTACTTAGACCTTGCAAATGCTTTTCCAAGAGCAGCACACACCTTATCTTCTCTTCTGCAACAACAGTGGTTGGATTTCCATAACGCCCATACTCAAAACTTGCATGTCGTCCCTCCTATGAAAACATCCAAGATATCTATCTATAAGACAAGAACTAATATTTTTTACATGAAGTTTGGGTGGTCGTATTGCATAAAAAAATCGAAAAGGAAACACCTTTGGATTAAGATACCTTGAAATCAATAAGCTCGGAAGTTTTCTTGAAGAAGTAGGCAGAGGTATTAACAACAGGGGTGGTGATTGCATCAGTAACGATGCCACGACCTAATCTTTCACCTAAAAAATCCAAAAAAAGCCAATTGGGTTACACTCTCTCACCCCCTAAACTCAACATGGTTGACATCATCATATTATCGATACTAAACAAAGAATTATGAACTAAGAATGTATCCGATAAGTATATTTGCTTAAACTTCAGCATCATAAACAATATGAAACAACCCAAACACAGCTTCAAACTCCTTCCAACCGATCTCTCAACGAGTCAATCAAATAGATACAGAGTTTTTAAATATACAAACAAGGGTGTCACAGGAGATGTAATCTTAGTCATCCCTCAAATGGATCTCTCATTGAAGAGATGACAAATGGAAATTGATGTCCATATAACACAAGTAGGACCAAGGTTCTGAAAAGTGGTTGCGGTCACCGTAACGGTGACGGTGGTGCGGTTGCGGTTGCGGTTGCAGGATGTAAAGGCCGTAGCGTAACGGTTGTGGTAACCGGAACCATAAATTTTTTTATTTTTTGGATAATTTGAAAAAAACTTACAGATACGCATATTTTTTTTTCATAATCATATTTATGGGGTTTTAAAATAAATATTTATCAATTTTTGTAAATTTTTTGGTATGATTTAATATATTTCATATTTTTAAATCACTATAAACTGAGTTTTTTACATTTTATTTTAATAGTTAAGGACTTTATATGTCATAAATCCATATTATACTTATGGCAAAAAAAAATCTTAATGGAGTTAGATGTATAAAATTATTTTTTTTTAAAATTATTATACTTGTGGAAGCATATGTAAATTTTAATTCGAATAGTTTTAAAAAATAAATTATATATGCTAATAATGTAATCATATAAAAATTAAAAAATAAATAATGTATTTTTAAATCACTGTAAACTGAGTTTTTTACATTTTATTTTAATAATTAAGGACTTTATATGTCATAAATCCATATTATACTTATGGCAAAAAAAAATCTTAATGGAGTTAGATGTATAAAATTATTTTTTTTTAAAATTATTATACTTGTGGAAGCATATGTAAATTTTAATTCGAATAGTTTTAAAAAATAAATTATATATGCTAATAATGTAATCATATAAAAATTAAAAAATAAATAATGAAGAATTTTTTTTTTTTTTTTTTTTTTTGGAGTTTGGATCACTTGAATATTCATTCTCTTTTTGGATAACCTGTAAATAAAAATAAAATAAATAAACTAATCAAAAAAAATTGACATGTATAAAATATATATTAATATATAATTATTGGTGTTATGTTTTCTAAATATTTTACAAAAAAAAATCAAGCACTAATTATTATATATAAGATAAACAATAACAAAAGTAAGAAAATAAATAAAAACCTAAATATATATATATACATATTTTTTTTAATCAAGTCAAATAAATAATGACTACACTTATTATTATTATTATTATTATTATTATTATAGATAGACACACTCAAACAAAATGATGGTTGAGTGATAGCAACTAAATAGAATAGCATAGGTCTTACAGCTTCAACAAATCAATAACTTGTTTTTCATCTCCCCTCTTATCTCTCTCTATCTCTTACCCCTCCATCTTCCCTCTTCATTTTCCCTCCTCTCTATCCCCCTTCCCTCATTTTAATTTATTTATTTATTTATTTATTTTTAAAAGAACAATTTGGAACCGTTACGTAACGGTGTGTAACAGGTCATTACGGACATTACGCCACCATTATGATGGCTACGACTGACACACCTATAAATCTCAATCACACTGTAAAAACGGCCATAAATGATGGTGGTACATAACGGTTGTAGTCACTTTTTAAAACCTTGAGTTGGACATAATGACCTTCCATAGTAAAACCCTCACACAACACCATTCTCTCAATAAATCAATAGACACCCAAAAAGTCAAAAAGAAATTTTATTTCACAGCCTTTTGTTAATTAAAGTTATCCACACCGTAGAGATGTGAAGTGATTTACAGTCAAGTCTGGCAAACTGAAAGAAGAAAGAAGACCAAGGTGAAGGAAACTCCAACTCTTTTCTGTCCAATTCCTTTTAACTGTTTGGAACATGGATTTGAGTAGCAATTTGAAAATAGAAAGGAAAATGTAAAGAAAATGCGAATGAAATATAAGCTAAATTCTCTCTCCATTTCTCTAGCCTTTTCCTTTCTCTTTCCAAATCGCAACCCAAATTCACGATTCAAATACAGCTAAAGCATATTTTAAGAGTTTTAATAGAAATCCTCCATTTCTGCTCTATCAAGATATCCACATAGGTGATTTGGGAGAAAAACACTTTTTTTTTTTCTTTTTTTTCCAAATCACCCAATGCAAACCCGTCAATGTCCAAAGTTCTTCACCAAAAAAACCCATTATCAGCTCAAAAGAGCTACAAAATCAATTTATATGTTTTTGAATTAGAAATTAATGTAATAAAAAGCAAAACAGGAACATACCAGCATGAACAGCGACACTCCCATCGAAGCTCAAAAAATCGGCAGTCTTCTTCGAACCAGCCAGACCAGACAACTGTACACCGTTTAAATTACAAGAATCATCGCCGCCGCCAACAGCCGCCGCCGAGTCCTCCACATGGATCGGAGGAGCACCGGCGGAGGCGGAGGCAGCGGGGGGCGGATTGGTGGACCACGAGGCGGCGACGATTTGAGAGACGCCGATGTTGCTGCAGTTCCTCCGGGCCTTGGTGCTGAGCTGGCGCTCGAAGTTGGGAGGGAACTTGAAGATCAGAGAGGAAAGGGAACCGGGCGAGCCGTCGAACGAGGCGGAGAGAGATTTACGAACCGGTGGCGGAGCCGAGTTACGGTCACCGTAGCTGGGGTATTCGGGGCGGAAGTTGGTGGAGTATTCGGGGTCGGACCGGCACTCGAAGATGGGTAAAACCCTAGAGCAGCTTGATACGGCCATTGCGCTCTCTCTCTCTCTCTTCTCGCGCCGGGGGGGGAGGGGGGTGTGGCTGTTGAAGTGGCCCGTTAAAAGTGAGGATTGGGTTGGGATGTGCTGGTTGCTACTACTATTGACACGTCACCAGTCACCATAGATGTGATGTGAATTGCCTTGATTCAATTTTTTTGAAAAATAACGCCCCGTCTAATGTAGTTGTAATAACGTGATTATAACTTCTAATTATGAATATAAGTTAATTTTTAATTTATAAATTAAGTTTTTCTTTTCTCATTCAAAGAATAAATTAATTTTTGACTTATAAAAAATATAAATTGTATTATTAAATTAAATTAAATACATCAAAATAATTTAAATTAAACTAAAAATTAAAAATAAATCCTATCAAATAGGGCAATAATCTGTCCCTAATTTTCCTCCCTCAATTTCAGCTCAATTGTGTGGAATTAGAGAAGCTCAAGTTGATACAGAAAGAGAGTGTGAGACCAAAGGGTGGGACACGCCATTGAGAATAAGGTTTGAGCGGCAACATTGAAAGGGGAAATGTTACGTATGCTAAATATTTTATCAAATTTTTTATATAAGTATGATTCACATAAATTCATATATGGTGTCGTTTTGACAATTTAAATAAAAAGTTGCGTTTTGTGAATTCATCAAAAACGTCAAATCATGCAAAAACGTTAAAAAATTCATTTTAAATGATCGAAAAAAGTAACTCAGTTATTTACTAAACTACCTTTTAAAACATCGTAATTAATTAATTCAAAAAAATATTGACATGTAAAAGGGTAAAATTATAAATTTAATTAAAAAGTAAGGATATTTTGATCATTTTAGAGTGATGTGACACTTTTAAAAAATATTAAACCAAAAATTAAAAAAGTCAATTTTTTAACAACTTCTCAAATTACTTCCAAAAAAGCCAAAAAATTTGATAAAAAATCAAAAGTCAACTTGTTACCAACTTCCCAAAACACCCCATGATAAAATATTTAAGATTTCTAACATAACTCACAGTGGTGGAGTTAGAAAATTAGGTTAGGGACACTTATTAATTATAATTTTTTATTTAAAAAAACTCATAAGCAACATTAAGATAATAATTATTTTATAAGATAAATTTAAACATAAAAAATTACATATTCATTCTTAATAAGGACAAATCAAAATTCTATAATAGTGTGGAATAGTTCTGTGTGAGATGATGATGTAAGTTTGCAATTTTAGCATAAAAAATTATGAATCAAAATTCATAATTTTAAAAAATAAAAGCACATCATTTATAGCACAAATTATTATAAAATCTATTTAATTTTTATTTGACAGAAAAATATTAAAGAGATAACATTGCTTATAAATAATATATTTTGAATGAAAATTATTAAACAGTCTTAGGGTACCATATGACGTTATCTACGTGATGTTCAAAGTATAGAAAATCACAAATCATACTAAATAGTATGTCAATTACTTGAAAATAATGAATTCATTATATCTAATCTATAATATTTTTCGCTACACTATTGATTTAAACTATTACATAAATAATACCACATAGTGTTCTCGAAGTATCAAATAACTACTTGTTGTGAACAATATAATAAATTATTAGCCAAAAACATGTTAAGAAAAAAAAGAGAATGCATTTTATACATAACAATAACCAAAAAAAAAAAAAATGCAAAACTGAGGAAGGGCACGTGACCCCCCTTGGCCTATGCTGCCTCCGCCCTTGATAACTCAATTGGAAAATGTAAGTCCACCAGCTCCCTTAAATCTCCTCCTTACTTATTTTAAAGGATAAATGGCTTTTCCCCCCTTACTTATTTTAAAGAATAAATGGCTTTTTATACATCTGTATCAGCTCTCCTAAATAATTCCTTAAATTAGTTTTTGCTACAGTGACTTTATATTTGTAGGGAGTCACTATAACTCCCTTATATATATATATATTGCTTTGTTTTGCTTTTGTTTAGGGATTGCAGTACACATTTATAATTTTTATTTTTTTTAAAATTTATAATTAAAATTTATATTTTAATAAAATAAAAAAAAATAGAGAGTTTGTTAATAGAATAAAAAATAAATAGGGAGCTATTGGAGAAAGTAAATAAAAAAGTTATTCCTAAAATAAAAAATAAATTTTTTAATAATATTTTAAGATAAAATTTAGACAAACTGGTAAAGATGCTCTAACACATTTTGGCACCGTTTGGTGTAGCCGTTAAAACAGTATATAGATTATAGCTTAACAGATTATAGATTATGACTTTAATCAGAAGTTGTTAATCTATTTGGTGTAGCTGTTGGATTATACATTTAAGTTGATGAGTAGTGCTTGTTAAATAAGCTGTGAAATAGTTTTTTCAATTAATTTTTATTTTTTATTTGTCTACATTTCTCATAAAAAATAATAATAATAATCTATAGTCCATTTGAGTTTTTTTCTATTTTTAAAAAAATAAAAAATAAAAAAATTTAGGAGTATAACCATAAATTAACATGTCAACAGCAGAAGCTGATAATCAGCAGTAAGGGGTGAGCGGCTTCTCAAAATCAATTTTTTTGAGTTAAAATAAGCTGTTAAAATCAGAAGCTGTTTGAAATAAGTTTAACCAAACAGTCCAAAATAATTTTTTTAAAACTAAAAATCATAAATTAACTCTAAAAAACTGAAACAAACACCCCTTTATCAATGCAAAATATGCATTCATTTTCAATCTCACCATATCCCTTAATTGAGTGCTCTCAATTCTACGCTTAACGATATAAATAAAAAAATAAAATTTAATAGAAAAAGTAGAGTGCGAATATTCATTTGGATCTTAACCACGTTATTTTAGGGGTAAAATTTGAAAGCCTTAATTAGGATAACAAATTTTCCCTTCGTTTTTTCTTGTTTTGGCAACTACCATTTCAAACAATTGGAGCACACTTTTCTTTTGCAGCTGACATGTTATGGAAATTGTACGGGGAGGAAATAATTCTCCTCGTATAATCCTGTTGACCAAGTCCACGCTCCTCCGTACGACGTCGCTTTATCACCTGAAAACACAAAGGTGAGCTAGCCAGCGGGTGTGTGCCGGAAACCTCTCTGATGCCTAAGTCAGTAAGCTTGACAAATAGACAAAATTTTATGCTTTCAGAAAGTATTATCTTCAATTACCTCCCCCAAGGTGGTGCTTGTGGGCTTTTATAAGTTTCTCGTGGCACAATCCTAGTAGGACTGGTATTTCTCCATGCAGAGTCCCCCTAGGATTCATACTCCTAAGGATAATGCTTATCCTTTTACACCCTCCCCCACTGCTTAAACCAAGTGGGATGGTTTTCCGCATGGCCTAACCACCATTTGACCGAAATAAAACTTGGCTATACTGAGCCATCGAGTGGACCGAACTCATTCATAGTTCGGTTCTTTTGTCTTCCCTTTCTTATCTCGGCTTTCCATACAGAACCCATAGTACGGTTTTAGACCGAACCAACGACTTTCGACCGGTATCACCCCAAGACTAGCACAACTCCAAGTTGCTTTCGGACCGAAGTACCTCTATAGTCACTGTGCCGAAGTAACTTTGTCCCTCTTATGCCGGAGTAACCCTGTCTCTCCTGGGCCGGAGTAACCATACCTCTCCTGGGCCGGAGTAACCTTGCGGCTTTTTCACCAAGTCCTTGGCACTTTGGGCCATGAAGCCTATCACATAGCTCGGCCTAATTTTTACCAAAAATTACCCTCTCAATTGCTCCTTAATTCCATCTGCATAGCATGATTGGGATTACCAGTCCACCAGCCGAGCTGGCGTCGTTTCAAGCTTTTCCAGCCGAGCTAAAAATACCTTAGCCTCTCCAGCCGAGCTAAAAAACCCTCGAACTTTTAAGCCGAGCTAATTTTACTCCGGGCTCCGTTTTGTCCGGTCAAAAACGTCTCTTTAACCATAGCGTCTGTAACGCTTCCCATTCCAGTGACACGTGGCAAGCTCTGATAAGCTGTGGCCAACTGTCACGCCGCCCTGCAGAAATTTTGTACAGTTCCCGCCTTTTCTCTCTCTCTTATTCCACAAAACACTCTTTTCTTTTTTGAACCATTCACCCATTCTCTTCACCTTCTCTTCTCCCTTGTTTCCTGAGCCCCTGAGCTTTGAGCTTGCTGTGTTCGTGCCTCCATTGCTGCCATTGCCTCCATCTCTTAGCTTCTCTCTTACTCGGGTAAGCAAGCCTATCCTTCTTGCTTTTTTACCTGTTTTATCATCTGTTTTTGTTTTGTATGCTTTTTGCAAACACTTTTCTCCATTTGTTGCTTTTGCTTCCGTATTTTTATGAAAAAACCAGTAGAACTTCATGTGTGTATGAACTATTATGTAGAAAAACCAGTCTTAGATCCAAAATCACATAGCAACCGAACTAGGATCCTGTTTGCCCCAAATAGGTAGATCTCTGTAGTCAATAACCGAACTAGAACTTGAAAGTTTCAAAGGGTTACCAAAGCCTGACTCACTTTAGCCGAAATAAGATCACCAAGTTTTGAATATAGCAAACTAAGAACCTCGGTTGTCAACCGAACTAAGCTTTTGGGGCCAAGCCGGCTTTCTTGGTTCCTAAACCGAACTCAGAAACCGCCCCTAGAGGCTTAACCGAAGTAACTCTATTCACACTGCAACCGATTTAGGCCTTGGGGCTAAACCAGCTTTCTTAGTTTTTTAGACCGAACTAGGAAGCTGCCCCTAGACGTTAAACCGGTCTACCGAGCAAACTGCTCAAACCGAGCTACCAAACCTTTTGATGAACCGAGATAGAACCAGTTTTTTGAGGTCGAAGTAGGGCTCTTATACCTTGCTTTTAAATTGTAGCACGGTCCAACGATCAATGCTTTAACCCCCTCTGTTTTCTACTTTGCAGACTTAGGTTACCCAGGCACTCCTGCGTGCGCTCAACCGAGCTACTGAGCACGATTTTTGCACCGATATAAATTATAAGTAAATTATTCATCAGATGGGTAAGTATAGGTATCTAGTTGAGACCCCTGGTGGCATGGCCGAATTTAGGAAAGATTACCAAATTC